CATTCTGGCCAGGCACATATATTTCATGTGAACATCCTCCTTTCAAATTTGCTTCAAATGAAAAATTCTGGTTTAAGGCAAATATTTTAGACAGTTAGTCATGGTTTGGGAGTTTTATTATTTGATTTCCAAAGTCATCCCAGATCAAAGAGCTATTACACTTTGATAGACTGTAGCCTGAATATAGGCAATACATTCCAGATCTTTAAAGTCCAACCTAGAGTTAAGCTCCTAGCTAGTCTGGCCTATAATAAAAATTAAGACCAGTTAAATGCTTTGTGCATCTGGATAAGCTCACTGAAGGACTGTTAAGCAATTTAAAAAATGCTTACCTCTCTATCCATGAAAAGGTTGTAAAAAAATAAAAGTATTGTAATTAAACATTTCACCCTTACAACCATTTAATTCAGACCTAATTCTGGCTTCATTCTAGTTTAGGAAGTTCTGGTTGTCGCCCACATGACACCAGTGATAGGGAAGCTTATATTCCTTGCTCTCTGAGGGAGCCAGAAACTATATGCAGTTGTGTATGGTTGAGTAAAAGGCATTCAGGAAAATCAATCCAGCTGCTGTATTTGATGTCTCACTTTTACTGCCAAATTATGAAAGACAATTATAGAACCTAAACATTTGCAGAGGACTGGAGCCCAGCCTGAAATCAAGGGAAAGATTGTTTGGGTTTTTTTAATCCACATTGTCCTTTTATACTGAATGTTGCTTAATGTTTCCTGCTGAGAAACTGTTTATTTCCAAAACCTCAAGTGTTTTAAGGTGGCACTGTGCTTTACGACTCCACCCTTGAGCAGCATTTTTCTTAGTCCTTGAATTTAGTCCAAGTAGAACTTTCTGTACCACCTTGAAATCAACAAATGATAAACAATTGCCAATGGGAACTCTTTCTTCCAATTTTCCATTTAACAAAAATAAACATCTTGCTGTTGTTTTCCCCTCTTAGCCATACCCAATTCAGCCATTTGGGGATTTCTTGGAGTCTAGAAAGAAGGGTCTCTTAGTGCTCTCAACAGATTAACATGGTTTGGGGGTGGGGGACAGGTTCCCCAGAACAGTGAAGATGACAGTAGAATTCCATTTAGAAAAATAATCCAAAATTCCCCCAAAACTAACCAGGATACCTAATGTAGGGAAACCAAACACTATAACAGATGCAAGCTGGAAACCCTTGAATAAAGGGGTGATATTGACTACTGAAAGGATAGAATTGGTGTTTTTACCCTCCTCTTCTTGCTCAGTTGCCATTTTTCTATTACCTACTTTTTGTATGGCTACTCTAGTGGCACTCTCTTCTGCAGTTACATCATGCTTAGAGCATCACTATCTCCTTTTCATCTCTCCACTCACCCCAAGATGACATCACCTTCATAGCACAAACCCCATAGGTAGGAAGCTGATTTTAAGTACTCTCTTCCCTTCCTTCAAAAACCAGCACAATCCAGACCAGTGTTAATAATATAAATTTCATCCCCTTCTTAGAAAGAAGCACTTTACCTCTCCAGTACTTGTGGCCATCTGAGGGCAAGGGAGAACAAACCTTGAAAGTGTCCCAGAGCCAGTGTGTCTTTCACCTTAAGATAGCTTTTTAATCTACCCATATATGGATAGATAAAAAACTATAAAGATAAAAACAGACATCAGTTTTATACAGATTCTGAAAACCTGATTTTTTTTGTAATTTACTTATTTTTAGAGTAAGCCCCATACCGACAGAAGGAACAAATGTATGTCACCCAATCAATTCTAGGTTGGCAAACTTCAGAAAACCACCAACCTCATAGCATATTCTTTGGCCACACTTCACAGTACTGTGTTAATGCACTCAAACTACGTGACTGGATGCAATTTATGTCAGCCTCAAGTGTTCTAACTGGCATCTCTGTTAGGCTTCAAGACTTCTGCATTTACTATCCTGGAACCTATAAAATTTCCTTTGTCCTGCAGGAACTCTCCAGAGTGAATTCTACTGAACAGTACTGAGTTTATGTATTAAACAAATGACAACTCCCTGCAAGTGAGTTGGAATTTTAGGGGTCCAGGACTGTATTGCCAATCACAGTAGTATTTAAACACTGCAGTATAAAAGACAGATTAAGTAAAGATTAGATAAAAAGAGACCAGGAATTGTTACCATCCTTTAGATATAGTAAAGCTTTACAGAAACTGATAAGAGCGGTTATTAAATATCTGAAAAAGGGCTGGCACAAAAAAACCCAAAACACTGTACAGGGCCTTTGCCTTCACTCAGAGGGATAAAGAAAGAATCAGCAGTCTTTTGGGTTGTTTACTTTACCGCTGATCATCCTACCCCAGGGGTCTGCTTTTGCAACATTTATTTTACCATTACAGATATTTCTAATTTTTTAGCCATATTATGTCATCTAGTGACCAGAGGCTTTACGGACTTCATCACCACCACCACCCAGGGCATCAACATCTATTTCATACAGGCCTTCAAAAGAGCCAATGTGTTTTTTCTGGCTCTTCACTCCCACCTATCAATTTTTCAGTTCCTCAGAACTAATACCATTGTCATTTGTGATTTATGAAAAATAAGCATTGGGCAAGCACAGAGCCAGCTGATTTAGATCTTTCATTTTCATGAGAATGTTTTAATATATTTCAGGATTTAGCAAAGCAATGGCAGCAAGATAAGTCAGACTCAACTCCTTTTCTCAGGCTGTTACCACACAGTGCCCAAGTTAGGTACAGCATAGGTCTTTTCAATTATTGTGATCCTTTTGGGCTGGCAAGCCACTTCAATTCCAATGAGGTCTTTAAGATTTTGCTTCAATTACGTGCAACTTTGCCCACCCAGCAAAAAAGTGGGTACAGGAAATAGGATTTCTTTGCCAAGCTAATGAGTCACTGTACAGCAGTAGTTAATTCAGTTATCTTGCTTTGCCAACTCACTTTTTTATTATTTAATAATTTCCACTGTATTTTATCCTCTTAAGAAAAATATATGTGAACCCACCTCGAGGAATTTTTGCTATTCTCTATTTTTAAAGAATTGTTCTCTGAAATGAATAAGGAACAAGCAGATAAACAGAAACTGTTTTGTCCCGGTGCTATTACAATAAATGAGTGCACTGGAGGGGAACGAAGTTGCTGCAGCTCAAATATAATCCTTAGGGAATATTTCTATTTGCCTTCAGGCCCAGCTAAAATGGAATGTTACCATACATAAATAGGGTAATCCGATTAGTTAGTGCCTTAACCATTGTATTTTAAAATGACTAACTCGTGTAGCCAAAATTTTCTATTTGGTCAAATAAGCCAAAAGTGTATTAATCCCTTAACAAAGGGAAGTCAAGAGTTCTTGGCACACATCCTGTATCCAGCATTCCCTAGTAAAGGGTTAAGTCTGCAAAATCATGGTGGTTCTTAACATTTTTGATTGAACTACACAGCAGGTGATTTCACATTAGTGGCTGCTACACATCATGGCACCAATTTACTGCCATTAAGAGTTTATGTTTTACGTAGACTTACTATAGGGCTACACAGTTTTACTGCCTTTCCTATACGTGGGCTCTGGAGCAAGTAACTGACTAGGTTGACACCACATTAGTCTACAAGTTCCACAGTCCAGAAAGATACAGTGCAGGCAACAGTGCAGGCAGCAGTGTCAGTCTCATTGTCAGAAGAATTTCTATTATAGTGCCATGCTACCACTACATCAATTTCAGTAGAGAAAGCATCGGAAGCTTGTTAAGCATGTCTAAATCTTTCTGAAAAAGTAGCTCTTCAGGATAAATTTCTCATGCTTGTTCTCTATGCAAACCTGAGTTTCAGGAAAGTTTAATGAAATTCCATGGGGTCATTTCTGATACCAGAGAGCGTACCCCTGATGAACAATGCTTCCATTTTCACTCTCCTCACCTTCTTTCAACCCTCACCCTGGATGGAAGAAAAAAGTAGGAACTGAAAAGAACTTTGCAGAGCCTACAGCTCTCTATGTGGTCCCCAGGAGCCGCCGCCCCGCCCGGAGCAGCGTTCCAGGGGCTGCAGCCGCAACATGCTTTGAACTATGAAATGTCAGATATAGGCAGGTGTATATCTGGGTATGCACCCATCAGATTTTTTTAAAAATTCAAGTAATATGCAATTTTACTGTAAGAATGTTATTTGAATATGCAATATGAAAAAGACATTAAATCCAAAAAAATTACATTAATATAGTAAAGTTGAAATCTTAAGCAAACTAGTCAGGAAATCTAGTTAAGGTTCCCACTGTTTTTTGTAACGATATCAGATATTATGCATATCTAGGAAGGCATTAAAACTAACCCCAAATACCGTAATACAACATACTCCCTGTGCCTCAGCATCCCCATCAAATGGGGATAATAATATGGACCTCCTTTGTAAATTGTTTTGAGACCTTCAAATGAAAAAGCGCTGTAAGAGCTTGGTATTGTATATTTGAGACCAGAATTACAACTGCTGAATTACAAGTACTGTGAGAATAATTTAAACTTTTGTTCATAAATTCTCAAATTTAACATATGCATTATAAATACCAAGAGATATGGTCCAGTGGCTAAAGCATGACACTAGGATCCAAGAATTCAATGTTCTAATCCTGGCTCCAATACTGATTTACATAGTAACAAATCACAACACCTCTGTGTGTTTCAGTTTCCCCATGCTTCAAGTGAAGGTATCGACTTCAGAGGTGCTTTGAAAATTAGCTGGTTAATGAAGTGACTGTATACTGTTAAGCACTGCACTGCATCACAGGCATCACCTGAAGTATGCTGGGGTGGGGTGGGGGAAGGTGAGGAAAAGGGAAAAGTTTTCAAATAGCAATAATCACACCTCGGATTAACCTCATTAGTTATGATACTACCACTGCGTACTCACAGCACAGTGTAACCTATTAAATATGCAAATGAAAAAAGTGCATTTGATGTTATGCAGTCAAGTGCTATGGCTATTACAATTTGGCACCTGGATCATATTGACCAAACAAGACTATTTAATAAAATAACAAGAGTTACTTTATTTGAGTAGAAATATACAATAAAAATTTTGTATTGGCTACATTTAAAATCCCATTAGTTAAAAATTAATCTATACAACATATGATAAAATCCAGGTAACAAAACATTTACACAGTCAACATAATACACAAAGACAAATAAAATCACATGTGTAAGGAATCCAGGGGGGAAAAAAACTCACCCTTTCTTAAAACGTACAATAATCTAAACACAACATGGAAACACACAGAATACATCTAATAAAGTGGTACTTTTGTAATACAAGAGTTTGGAGTTTTTATTCAGGACTGTATCAGATTATCTGAATATATGGGACATCATGAGACACTGTTCATATCTTCACAATTCATTCGCTGCTTAGAAATTAAAGTAACAATACACTGTTGAGGACTGCAAAGGGGGAGTTTAGTTGGTTTGACAACCATTTTGTGTGACTAAGATCAAGTGCAGCATCAGTTCTATATGAGAACTGAAGCCTTCCCCTGACAGGGGAATGGGTTTGATCTAACTTGTACATATCTAAAATACTATAGTCCATGCATAATAGCACACCCACTGGAAGTGCCACTCCAAAAGCCACTTTAAAAGTGACACTGCAGTATCAAAGTGACTGGCTAAGGACATGGTGCTGATACAGCCTGTTCGGAGATGCTATTAACAGGAATGCTTTCAAAGAACAATTGTTCTATACTGCTTGTACAGGTTCTCTTTCAGTACTTGTGGTTGATCAGTATTTAGATTTTAAGAGACCTACAATATTAAATCCATGCCTCACAGAACAGCGATTTTTAGAAATTAAAACTATACAGAGCTATTCCTGGTGACATGTATTAAGAGTTGATTTCGGAGAGGTATATACTAGAAACTCAAAAGGAGTTTTTCCAACACCTGCAAATCAGGTTTCTGCAACAAAGCATTTAACAGTCTGGACCAACAGATTTTCCTTTGCTACTCAAACTTGCTAGGGAGCGACCAATTCCTGGATGAAAGATTTTTTCTCCCCACAAAACTGAACTCCCTCTATATACATTTTATTCAGATGAATTCTTCCTTAGCTTTCAAAAAGGCACTTAGGAAAAAAGGTCAATTGAACAATAACAGTTCAGTAGAGTGTGAATTTTTAGAAAAGCCTAAACTTATTATCTGTATCAATACAGAAAGGCATAGGAGAGTTCCAGATTGTCAAATGCTTGGTCATAGAAATGCAGTTTACAGGTAGTCTTTCTGCTCCTACTCATATGACAACCTGGACCAGTGGGGTCAAATTGTTCCAAGATCAGGAGGCTATGGTCTTTACAAAGAGTGCTCAGCACCCAAATACCAAGGGCGACGTCCTTCTGTCTGCCTATGAGAGAAAGAAGATTTAAGTCCAAGCCTGTTGCAGTATGTCATGAAGGACAGCAAGATGGAGCATCACAATTACAACACCATGAAGGAAGACAACATTTGGAACTTCAGTGATATTTTTTGCCTGTCTGCAAAGTGCAGCAGGGCAGGGAAAGCAGTTTGGGAGGCCAGCAATTGGTCACTCTGCCTTACAGGTCCCAACAGCAGCTGGTAACCTGCTGGTCCAAAGTTTTGAACAAGTAGGAAATTATTAGTGCTTCTGGTACTTGTTGAAGGACACTCATGCTGACAGATGTGTGAATAAAACCCAGAAGTCCTTCCTGACAATGAATGACCCTTCCTGTCACTAACACCTTGGGCAAGTCTTAACTTCATGCCTCAGTTTCCACATCTATAAAATGGGGATAATACTTCATTACCTCACAGTTGTGTAATAAGGATCAATTCTTGGTATTAAAGTTTTCCAAGGTCCTTTTTAAACACTTCTAGAGATCCCACCAACCACATACTTCCAAATGTGTGTTCTAAAACCACTTAGCAAACCTAATAAAATGTCTCTCAAGAGGGTTAGGCTCACACCAGTACAAAAGCGCTACACAAAAAACTCTTCTAAAAAGGGTTCAGAATACTGAGGAATTGTGGTTGTTCAAAAAGTAGAGGTGGCAACAATTCACTATTAAATTTGGCCTGCCTCGAAACAATTCAACAACTGATTTTCAACTGTTTTGTGGCTAACACTGTTGCACTGTTCAGTAGAGGCCAATATGGACAGGGAGAAAGTATTACCAAAAAAAAGATTACAAGGGTTTAGGTTTGCCCCAGGCATACCAGCTGTCACAGTGTTACCCAGAACGGTTAAAGGTAAGTTCTTGAAAGCTAGATTCAGGAGACAGAATATTTAATAGTGTAGGCCCGGCCTTAACGGAAAACTAAAATAGACATTATCTGTCTAAACTGAAACAAAACAACAATGGAATGAAATACAGATTGCTAGTGCAGAGAGAACTACAGGGCAGACTTCTTAGCTGATTATTTAAAAAATATGAAATGAATATGTTGTTTATTTACAAATATCCTGTCTTATTTTGATATATTAACAAGACTACTAGAGAACACCTTCATAATGACCACCTGTGAAGTATTAAATTGTCCCAACTTTGTTCTAGACAACAACCTAAATATTATGGATGCAGGCCATAATAAATGCGAACTTTGTTTAAATAATGTTAAGGTTATCACAAACTTTCAAAGCCAGGAAATGCACTGTTAGGGCCAGGATTCTGTCTTGAACTCAAAACTGTTGTGATGATTAAAGAGAATTTTTAAAAAGTACGAGTCAAGGATAAAGTATTAACCTTCATTTTGAATATCCTGGCTTCTGTCAGTGTTTCAAAACAAACAGTCTGTTCACTTTCTTAGTTTAAAACAAAAAAATCCACAAAATAAACCAATGAAAGATAAAATGCTATTTAACAGATGGGAAAAGCCTGAGTTAGTCTTTCGGGGAAAAATTGCTACTATGTACAAAAAAAATACACATACAGCTTGTGTGTTCCATCTGGATTAAAACAGATTTGTTAATGTTTTCAGAAGGCATATTATTTAACTGATAGATCAACCTATTGTGTGTTTTAAGGGACTTCATATACATGTGTAAAAGCAGTTAGACTATAGAAAATAACAGGTCTAAACTAAAATCATCCATTCATTTGGACTTGTACAATTTAAAACCACAACTAAATAAATTTTAAGAAGTACTTACTATTTCTGACCCCTGCATTCCATGGCAAGTTGCAACTTATAGTATCTTTTTATGGGTAGATAGACCCCAGACTCAAAGGAAAATAAGATGGCTTTGTTTGAAATTATAGCTTATCTACAATTTATATTTTCACTAAAATGTGCTGCATCATTTGAGAACTTCCTACCAATAAACCACATTCAAGAATTAATTCTCCTTTCACGCACACTTACCATTAGGACAAGAGAGAAATAAGTGCATCCAGAAATTTGCTCCGATCTTCCATTTTCAGTTCAATTACTAAAATAAAGAAATATTTATTAGTACAGGAGACAGCTGCAGATATACCAAGTCTCAGGCTCTGGGAATATGTACTAGTATTTTAATCAAATTATTTCTCTCGTTTTTTTGAAGTCTGGGTAATATAGTAGTACGTAGGTTTACTGTGCTGTTAAAAGGGAGATCTGAGCAAATTCAGAATTCCAAGATTCTCACCCTTTAAATATTGTCTCCTATTTTAATTAAGTGGGCTTGATAGATTCTAGGTTTACATCAGATGTTGCAGAGCAAATACCTACATCATAATCTTCAGAGTTTAAATTTTGCCTTCTTTGCAAAAACACATATAAACCTTTCCAGACTACTATTCCTTTTTGTTAGCTAAAAAAAAGGAGGTGAGAAATCTCTTTTTGTGCTGATGTCTCTTTCAAATGGCTGTACCAAACGTATTTCAAAACAAATGTTAATGCAGATAAGCCTACATCATAACTAGCACATAACTATAACTGTTTATGGTTACATTTTAGAGCTCCAAGTCAATTCAGATAAAAATGGTCATTCCAGGCAAAATATATTTCAACTTTTCTCAGTAATAATTAAGAGGTTTGCACACTTACAGCTAGCAGTTTTTATACTTTCAGTACACCAAGATGCCAATTCAAGAAGTACCCCAGTACTAAAATCTGGACTGTGTTATATTGCAGCCTGCTTGTGAAGCACACCACATAGATGCTCATCACCTATGTATATATTAAAATTACAAGAACTGCCCCTTTGTAGAATGACTGAGATCTTTTAGGGAGTCTCCTGTCTAAAACAGTAGAAACACTGACCCCTAAAGGATTTGCCTGTCAAATGCAATATGTGGATGTGAAAAGATGAAAAGTTACTTACTAGACATGTCAAAGTGGTTATGTAAAGTCCTAGAATTTGTGCTTTCCGCAGCTTTTTCAAATGCTCTCCCAAAAAAGCTTTAAAAAAAACCAAACCCACACATTAGGAATATCACCTCATTAATTAGCAGCACACATTCATTTTTCTAACACTCCAAATTTTACAGAGAAGACAAAATATCCTTCCCTTTCCACCCTATCCTTCCTGGACCACGCATATTATATCCTACAAGCCCCATGCAGTCACAAAAATCCAGAGTGCATGGGCTCCAATTAGTCACTGTGGCCAAACACCCGCTTTGTCTCCCAGGAAGCAGATTAAAAATTTAAATTAGGGGAAAACCTCAAAAGTAGTCAAGATTAAAACTCCTGCCATATGAATATAACAACTCTGCCCATGCAAACCCTGAGCTTTAGCAGGATTTAATTCTATTGCCTGTGACAGCAATTTTAAAAAAGGATCCGCAAATGGCCCAGTGACTGAGCACCCTGAATATAATTTGCAAGCACACTGAAAAAATAGTCAGGACCTACACAAAAAGTATAGCCACAAAAAATGTCCACTACTTTTATTTTTTAGCACTCTGACAAATAATAAGAACAGAAGAACGGCCATACTGGGTCAGACTAAAGGTCCATCTAATCCAGTTATCCGGTCTTCCAACAGTGGCCAATGCCAGGTGCCCCAGAGGGAATGAACAGAACAGGTAATCGTCAAGTGATCTATCCCCTGTTGCCCATTCCCAGCTTCTGGCAAACAGAGGTTAGGGACACCATCCCTCCCCATCCTGGCTAATAGCCATTGATGGACCTATCTTCCATGAATTTATCTAGTTCTTTATTGAACCCTCTTAGTGTCCTGATCTTCACACCATCCTCTGGCAAAGAGTTCCACAGGTTGACTGTGCGTTGTGTAAAGAAGTACTTCCTTTTTTGTTGGTTTTAAACCTGCTGCCTATTAATTTCATTTGGCAACCCCTAGTTCTTGTTTACTCCTTCTCATAATACACCACTTCACTTTCTCCAAACCAGTCATGATTTTATAGATCTCTATCACAGCCCCCCTTAGTCATCTCTTTTCCAAGCTGAAAAGTCCCAGTCTTATTAATCTCTCCTCATATGGCAGCTGTTCCATACCCCTAATCATTTTTGTTGCCCTTTTCTGTACCTTTTCCAATTTCACTGTATCTTTTTTGAGATGGGGCGACCACATCTGCAAACAGTATTCAAGATGTGGGTGTACCATGGATTTATATAGAGGCAGTATGTTATTTCCTGTCTTATCTATCCTTTTAATGATTTCCAACATTCTGTTGACTTTTTTGACTGCCACTGCACATTGAGTGGATGTTTTCAGAGAACTATCCACAATGACTCCAAGATCTTTTTTATGAGTGGTAACAGCTAATTTAGACCTCATCACTTTATATGGATACTTGGGATTATTATATTTAAACATTACTGAAAGGATATTTATTGTTCAAAGGTAAATGAACAAACCAATCAGAAAAAAAAGAAAAGAAAAGGAATGGGGGAAATGTGTGCCTATATTTCATATCCATAGCAAGAGACAAGGTGAGTGAGGTAATATCTTTTATTGGATTAACGTCTGTTGGTAAGAGAGACAAGCTTTTGAGCTACAGAGAGCTCTTCCTCAGGTCTGTGAAAGGTACTTCACTGTTATAGCTAAATTCCCATAGCAAAATACTTAAAGTGTGTACAATTGATCATTAAAGCTAACATTGGGATCAAAACATTTGGCATTAAAAATATATCTTAGATAAGCTTAGCCTCTTTCCTGATATAAACCTATTGATGTCATTTAGAAAGGATACTAAACAAAAAAACTCTCACTTCTTTTTGTCGGAGCTTTCTGTCTCTGGAGGAATTCCCACCATGATCACTGTACCCTGTTCAACATCCATCGGCGCTGCTACTATCAGTGGCAGCAGCTTACAGCGCTTGTTTTTTGTCTGGAAGACAGAAAGTCCCTTGGTTAGGCAAAGAGCTCAAAGATGATAGAATCAACCTTCAGTTCTGCATGACAAATATTACTAAAGATGTTGACTTAAAAAGTCAACTCTACTCCAAGCCAACTGAGAGTGGTTTCATTATTTGATCTCCCTGTCACAAGTCTAGTGACTTTAGGCATAGCAGTAAGTGACCTAAAGAAAATTCAATCCTCTTTCAATCCTACATTCAGTTTTAACATGGATCAGATATGAAGCTATGCACATCATTTCCAGTAAGGAAAAATGCTGCCTTTTTTCATTAAAGCATGCATTGTCACCTTGGTATGTAAAATGTGTGCTGTGCATAATTGAAAAATTTTGCACAAAGTTAATTTTCTATAAAATAATACAAGAGATACTAAGCTTGAAAAGTAAGTTCAACTCCACTCAACACATTCCCTTCCTCATTAGTGTGGTATTCCTTCACCCTTCCACAGGTCTGCAGTAGTAGAGAGCTCCTGGGAAAGTTATCTGATCTGTATTTATCAAAGATAAAACTGCCACTTTTATCAGATTAACACTTTGATAACCTTACCCTCTTTAATTAAGCTCTTCAAAGTCAGTGAGTGATTTAAGGATTTTGGCTATTTTGTAGGAATGTCTATTCCAGTAAATCAAGTGTTCAGCATGGCATAAAGCCCTAGACATAATTATTTTGCAGCTAACTTTGAGATTGCCATCCTGTCGCACGGATAACTCTGTCTGATAACTCTGGGCATAACAGTCACCTTGGTTGAGAGCTAGGGACCTAAAGAAATTAGGAAGACAACCCCTTAGGAAAAAAGCTTTGATTAAAGCTCCAGTCCTGTAACTAGCTGCATAGAGGAGTAGGCCCACGTGGAACTCATTGGAGGGTAGGGATCTTAGTCTAATTTTCAGAAGAGAAGTAATGTATGAACATAGTGAACATTGCTCACGATAATGTTATTTGTACAGTAGGAGAATGTTCACTGACTGGGTGATATGTTAATCTAATACTAAGCCTTGTGTTTTATCTGAATTGAGTACTACTTTTATATAGTTTAAAAAATGACCATTTTAGTAAATACTGCTTAAAATTCAGTTTGGTTTGTTGTGAATGAGATTTTAAATATACATTTATAAAAATAAATTAAAATGTTCCAGGTGTTTTTTGATAACCTAATCAATCCTGCATTTTCAGTGTTACAAACTTAAGCTAATTTCTCTGCCACAGTAAGTTTGTTAAAAAAGGTATAACAATTTTAAATTTAATTACTATGATCTCCCTCTATTGTTGGATGTCAGCATCTCAGATGAAAAACTCTCACTAGCGTTAAGAGGTCTGCAAACTGGAATCTTCCACACAGCATCATCTGTACATTGGTGCCATACTACCTAACCATTCAGTTAACTGAAAAAGTAACTTTTATATTTTAATACTTTATCTGGTGATCCTTTTCTTAAATAATCCACAGAAGAATTATAACTATGTATTCAGAGCAAGAGTTAGCCAGTTGTAAGCCTTTGATTTACTTACAGAGCAAACAAAAGACTTGAGTAAATATTTACTGAGCAGGCACAGAGACACTGGTTTGGAGAACAGTTTCACATCTGGAGTGCCCTGAGAAAAGAAAAGTTAACTCAATTATACTTAAACAAGAGATAGTAACATCCTTAGCTCATCTTTAGGATGAATGGCAGTTTAAAGACAAAACAAAAAAACAAAACAAAAAACTCATGACACTCTAGAAACATGAACAAAAAATTGTTTCTACTTAAAAAGTGCTCTTCATTTGTATATAAAAAACCTAAGGAACCTTTCCTTAATTTTTACAAGACAAAACTCCAGAAGGATTGATTGCCTTGCTGACTTGACTATCAAGACAGTACCATGACAAGACTGATTCTTAAAATGGGGAAAAGTCAGGGGGAGAAGGGGTGTCATAGGCTGATTCGAAATCAGTGCAATATAGAAAGCTAAGCTCTTCCAGGCTTTCATATCTACTTGACATACCAATGGTGACAGTTACAGTACAAGAAGTCAAATGAGGAGGAACAAGTACATAATTCTGACCTCCATTAGATAGCAATAGAGAAAAGGCCCCTGAGAGATTACAAGATTGGTGCAAATACAGCTGGCTACAGTCTGCTGAATGGCACGAAGTTGTTTTTTAGCTAGTTCCAGCCCTTGATGCAGTTTGTCCAGGTTACTCCTATAATGGAACAGGGAGACGAGAAATACTTTCACATAAAAAGAAAATTCTTGTTAAATAGAGTTATTTCTAAATACTAATCATAAGGATATTTGCTTTGAATCTTCTGAGAGAAGCAATTTCATCAACTTAACATGGTTTTCATAACTAACGATTAAGAAAAATTGTGAGAAGGGAGAGAGCATATGCACAATACCTGGAAAGACTGTCCAAAGCCTTGATAAAATTATCTGTTCCAGGTTCATCTTTCTCTATATTCTCCATTAGAGAAGCTGTTGCATAGACGATGTCACTTGCTAAGAACTTGTTCTTAAAACCAAAGTGAATGCTGAAGGTCTGTACTCTTAAGTTTTTCATTCTGTAAAAGCGGACCAAATCAATGGAGAGACGTTATGACAAACTTCTTATAATCTATATGATACTATTAACATGTATTGCCATCCATTAAGAAGTTTGAAATTAGAAGCACAAGGGTAAATCTCACATTAACTTTTCTGACTAGTCTTATTCCTATCTAGCATTATTGTTATGTCTTTTTAAACAAGTTGTGGCATCCTCTTTAAACTGCTAGTAAACTACTAAACTGCATGTTAATAGTTAGAGCACAGCACTAGGAGTCAGAAGTTCTGGGTTTATGCCTGATGCATCAGGAAGTCTCTCAAAGCCTGATTCTGAGAGATGCTGAGCGTCTATAATTGGTCAAATGAAGTAAGGGGCCTAAACATCTTGTAAAGTCAGATCCTCAGCATCAGTTTACCAGTCTGTACAATCAGTATGATAGTCTAATATATATGGGTGTTGTAAAGCTTTGTAATATTTCTAATACACAATAGTAGTTAACAGAAATTTAATTAACAGAAATAGGATTTTACCCAAATTTGCTGGCAGATTCTTCAATCATTTCCTGCAGGTTCTCCTTTAAGGAAACGTCCATGGAATTAAACTTTTGCTTCACCTGCTTCAAAGGCAAACTACAAAATGGGAAAAAGTCATTTTTTAAACATGCAGTTAAACATGTCTTCATCTAATGGAAAGGAGATTGCCCTACAAGTGAATGCATTCAACAGGTCAATTCTAATTTACAGCTCTTCTATTCATCTACCTGAAACACTGATGAGTGGATGTGCAAGAGTCACTTCATATATCTACTGTCCAATAAAAGCACATATCTTAAAATTAATGAGTACAGTAGTGTCAGCAGAGCAGAAGTAATGGAGTGGAAGAGCAATCCACTCTGTGCCCATAACAACATTTCCATATTTAACATAAGTGCCCACCTCAAAATTCTAATCTTTACTATGTTATATCCTGAATATTTTTCATATGCTTCCTTATTGCAAAGTACAATGTAGCGTTCCCTTTTCCCGACGAATCTTTAACTCACCCCATGTCAGCAAAAAACTCCTGAAGCCTCTTCTGCCCTTGTACAGACCAAAGTTTGAGACTGGCAGAAGTGTAACAAGTGTTACAAAGGCTTTCAAATAGGGACCAATGTTGATAAAGAGCCAGGCGCAGACTGAGGACATTAACAGGAATTAGGGAAAAATAGTGATTTAGAGCATATATATTTATAATTTACAAATTAGTAATGAACTTAACAATTGTTTATTACTATTCCTTCCCCACCCTCACCACACATACTACTTAAATCTGCATTAACTACACCTCACTGGAATAAAGATTTCCAGATGTGCATAAGAACATTATCACAGTGAAGACTGACTGGTGTAGCTGTCATTTTCCCCCCTTCTATTTTTTCCTGGGTTTGCATTTGTACTCCAGTTCCGTAGTTCTGAAAGGTTAGATTGTGTTGCTGGAATTATGCTCAAACATTGGAACAAGGATTCACCTGAAATAAACATTCAAGTATCTGTTTCTTCCAATTCAATTCCTAGCTCATAGAGAACCTGAATAAGATTACTTTCCCTAGATTACGCCTTCAGTCTGTCAAATCAGGTTGGTTTTTTTAACCCCTTAATATTTATAGATCAGACATAAGGATACTCATACTCAAATGCTATTCTCATGCAATCAATAGAAAGGGAGTTCTCTTCATCTTCATTGCGGTGGTTATGCCGGGACACATGACGCTGTAAAGTTCCAATATCAGTCACATACTTCATTCTTAAAAAAAAAAAATAGTATTTTTTCTTTCCCTTGGTAGTTTTATTCTTGTTTACTACAAAATTCTTTCCTAAGACTTACACCTTGGCTAGCCAGCGTCACAAAAATGAAACCTTATTATGAAAAGATAAAAGATATATATTTTTTAAAAAATTGGCACCACCTAGTGATAAGCTCTCTCCCCCCCCCCACATGGTAGTATACAAAGTAAATCAAAATGAATATATTTATTGCAACAGTAACACATACAAAAATGAAAGTAGTTACTAAATTTACCCTCAACCTCACAAAATAGAGATTAATGCAGGTAGGTGTAGGGAGAGCAGAATACACAAACTGAAATCTATCATACATATCAAAATTTTGTACAATGCAAGATACAGAAACTCAGTGGCTATCAGGAGATAAATTTATGTATGAAAAATAGGAAAAAATGATGAATTAGAGAAAAATGTTTCAAGCTTTTAAAAAGGTGAAACAAGCAAGAGAATTTTTAAAAGTATAGAGTACACTGAGATTTTTCCTTTAACGAAGCTACTGTAAAACAGACATATTTAAATTAGCCACAATTAAGCACGGCTTTTCCATGGAGTATTAGCAGTGATCATTTTATAAAATGAATAATCTGGAAAAAAAAAGTTCATTAGAAATTGTTTCTATTGTTTGAATGTTTATTTCAATTAAAAATACAATTTGTTTGAATAATATGTACACCACATTCACTCACTAATATAATAGCCTGACTCCTGTGTTGCTGCGTACATTAACGTACAGATTCCCTGATGCATATTAGCTATTAAAAATAGATGAACAGATTACTTACTGTGTGATTTTATCTTGAACCCACTGGTCTGTAAGCCCAACAATAGCCCACCTAAAAAAATGGGGGGAGAAAAAGTCAGGTAGGAAAAGAATCTATGCAACGTAGAAAGGTTAAGATGGAAATACATGAAAGAACAGACATCTACGACATTTAGAAGAGGACTGTGTGCAGCAGGTATACAAACACTTCTGAACTAAATTAATCACAGAACATGTTCACACGGGAAAGCAGCTGTATTTTTACTTGACAAGATACTTTACATACATAGCTACAGAAATAATTTCAGTGGCCCCACATAGTAAATTTTTGAAACACAACAGTTCAGTTTGTAGTGGAGGTACCGTTCTTTAAGCCTAAGACGTAATTTTTCTCCAACATAAAATTAAAAAGTCATGCACACACGCACATTGGCTAAAAATACTATTGAGGATTTTTGTACATTTTGCTATGGAATTATCTGGTACTATTACTATAAATAATGAACGTTGACACCACAACTGGACTACATACCACAACATGTCATTCAAGTCTTTAGACATTATCCATGCCAAGTCAAACATCACCATGGCAGACTACAAGAGAAAAGAGGACTGATGAATTACCATAACAAACCTGACAATTGGGAAAAAAAATAGCAGAACACTTTAAAAATATCTCGTATCAGAGGGGTAGCTGTGTTAGTCTGAATCTGTAAAAAGCAACAGAGGGTCCTGTGGCACCTTTAAGACTAGCAGAAGTATTGGGAGCATAAGCTTTCGTGGGTAAGAACCTCACTTCTTCTTAAAGGTGCCACAGGACCCTCTGTTGCTTTTTAAAAATATCTCATGCACCATCTTAGTAGCAGAGCTTCTGCAGGACAGACAGGTTCTAATCTGAATTCTAGTCTCTTACTCCCTAAACTGGGAAGAAGGGCAAAAAGTGCCTTTCATGACTCTATCATCCTTCTGTGTTTATATATAAATTGCATTTAACAACAAGATTTAAAATAATTTGATAGAGAATATGCTAGTTCTGAGAAGAAATAGCTCAGTAATCTAAACTTTCGGTTTGAAATACCTACTTTCCTAGCAAATAGAGAAATAAATCCAAGCAAGGTCATATCAACCCGTATTTCTCTTTCTGAAAAGAAAAGGAAAAAAAAAACCTGAGTTCCAAGCATGTGCGGCTATTTCAGATTAGACCTTAAAAAAAAAAATAGGTGGCCGCCCTGTATGTTTTTTTATGAACATTAAAGATCCCATACAACAGAAAGCTTATTATTAGGGATTTATTTGACCTGTTGTCAGCCAAAATTGCCCCTTCTTCTCTATTGTGGAGCATGCTATGCATCAGTTGGGTTGCTGGCTATCAACCTAAAGGTGGCTGCACTTCACTGCTGTACACATAATTTGTGAAGTACTTTGGGATGCAATTTTTGTATTTTAACATTAAAATTGTTATGCGGTAAGGTGACACTCACAAGTGGAGCAAAGATGGGAACTCAAGGAAACCCACTATTGGCAAGTAGTGGCACTGATGGCTGTGCCACAGAGTTTCTGGTTTACATCTCTGAATGCCAAAGGGTACTTCAGAAATCCCAGAACTCAGAATTGATTAATAAAGGCATAGGTAGGAGAATATACCATAGAGGCTATTTGTTACATCTTACAGTAAACCAATGAAACATAATGCAATAACAACTAATGCAGTATAAATAAGTCAAAGAACTTTGTACAACATATTGGAGATATTCCTATTGCAGGAGGACACTTTCTTTGTGGTAGTTTAGCGTTTACAGCAAGCAGCACTTGATACTTACCGAGGTTCCATGGTATTCATATTGCTCATAATCAAAGAGAATTTCTCGTCTAAAAGGGGGAAAAAGTGTTTGCTTAAGTACCAAGATTTGCTTCAAGTCCCTTACATAAGTAAAATAGCACTTACATTGTTTTAAAATTAGTATATTGCAAATATGAAATCAAACTCGGGGCTAAACCAATCTTTTTTTTTTTGAGTAAAGGAGTTATGCGTTAGTAACATTGAAATTTATGAGACTACAATGTAGTTTCTATTTTAAAAGAAATCTTATCAAATTTTATCATCCACATTTTTCCCTGATTAGCAACCTATACAATCCCATTGACACATAGGATTGCACAGGGAGCAAATCAGGGCAGGATCTGGTCGTATGATAGATGACATAAAGGGTACAATCAGTTAACGGCCAACCATTGCACTTAGTGGTATGCAAGTTTACAAATCATTAAATGTTTAATAAAATAAACTTACAGCTATTCTACAAAATAGCAAGAATACTTGCTAGATATGACTTACACAACTTTTACCTTCCAATTTCTGAATGAAATGTGAACTGCAGCATTATTGCAGGTCTAGCAGTAAAGAATAGATTTTTGTGGTCTCAATGTAAAGATTACTATTAAAAGGTGAGGGAGAGAAAAAAGGTATAAGCAATATCAAGCGTACTAACACATACCTACGTGCCTCCCACTCTCTCCTCTGTCTTCTTTTCATTGTTCTCTCCATAATATCCTGCAGACAAGTTTAGATACCAAAACATAAGATGGTCAAGGAAAAGAATGACTTAAAAGGTAAGTGACAATCCAGTCAGTATAGGCCCACAACCTAGGCTTTGTCAAAATAAAAATTTAGTAAACCTAATAGGACAAGAAGTATTTTCAAAACATTTCCACAAAAACAAGATTAAAGAAATGGAACCCTTCTATAGTGTTATTTATATTATAATTTTGTAAAAGCTGGAAGGTTTTAAATGACATTTTGAAAACTGACTGGCATTTAGAATTAGAGGACCTGATCCCTCAAGTGCCCTCACCTTTTCACATGACCTGGAAGGTGCCTTAGATATATTGTCTGATCAAGAGTCTATGCCCTGGCCATAAAGGTGGTCAAAGACAGAACACCTGTTGTACAACTGAGAGTAAAACATGTGTGTTGAGTTTGGAGGTCACTAAGATTTAAAAACAACCTCCTCCCACACTAAGGGATGAGGTAGTCTGAGGTTTTGTTTTTAACTTTTCTTAGTGCATTGTTACAAGGGCAAAATTAAGAATAGTTTATCCAATCTATGAATTTCTATATATTCAAATGTTCAGATTCTTGAGAGTTTAACATTAACTCTAAATGTCCTGTTTTTTAAATTATTTTTGTTTAACTATGAAGTTTTTGTAAAGATTTTTATCCTTAAATTATTGATATATACTCTCAACCTGAACTTCACATTAAAGTTTTTTGTCTGGAGATATGCTAGAATATCCTTTCAACTTGGTTTATTTTTTAAACTTGTGTCTGGGCCTTTTGATCTTCTAAAGTTCTAATATCAGAGGGGTAGCCGTGTTAGTCTGAATCTGTAAAAGGCAACAGAGGGTCCTGTGGCACCTTTAAGGCTAACAGTTAGTCTAACAGTTAGTCTTAAAGGTGCCACAGGACCCTCTGTTGCTTTCTAAAGTTCTAATGACTTCTGTTTAGGTTTCAGTTGCCCCTAAAACCCAAATGGTGTTATCATATTTGCTGAACTACATCAGGATATGCATATGAATTTTCCCCCCCTTTTCACAACAAAGCTGTAAGAAAAACACCTCTTCAAATCGTTTGCGCTTCCCTGAAGGCTCTGATCCATCACTTTCATTCCCAGAGTCATCTTCATCCTCCTCTTCATCTCTGAAGATATCATCATAGGCAGGAATTTCAAGGTCATCATCCTGCTTAACCAACAGCTTAATCTAACAACAACAACGTGTATTTTAGATAAAATAGCTCATTTTAACTGAAATAATTGTTAAACCCACAAATGTACATCACTTGTTCCTTTTAGTATAACAGACTAATCCAGTCACTCTTGCTTTGATCTACTCATACCAGAGCATCAAAATGTTACTATTAGACTCCATATACACAGGCTAGAACAATGGCTCTGACTTAAGATAAATATGTTTATTCTTCTGTATCAACACAAGGTAAGTATAGCACTACAAAACAAACCGGAATTATAATGATTTTCAATGTAAAAACAAAGCATATCTGTTAAGGAACATTACCAAGTAATTTTAGACTATAAACAAAAAGTCAGCATTCTTCATTTAAGATGATATCACTAGTTATTGAGGTAATAAATTATATATTCTAAAAGAAGTCAACCTAACAGTAATATGTTCTCTTCAATGGTACAGAACTTACAATCATTTCTGTGAATCTCACAACATGGTATAACCCAGGGGTAGGCAACCTATGGCACGTGTGCCGAAGGTGGCACATGAGCTGATTTTCAGTGGCACACACTGCCTGGGTCCTGGCCACCGGTCTGGGGGGCTCTGCATTTTAATTTAATTTTAAATGAAGCTTCGTAAACATTTTAAAAACCTTATTTACTTTACATACAACAATAGTTTAGTTATATATTACAGACTTAGAGAAAGACCTTCTAAAAACGTTAAAATGTATTACTGGCACGTAAAACCTTAAATTAGAGTGAATAAATGAAGACTCAGCACAACACTTCTGAAAGGCTGCCGACCCCTGGTATAACCTTTTACTGGGGGAAAGCAGATTTCCCCCCTTTTGACCATATAAACTACTACTGCAAGTTATTATTAATTTGTTTTCTGCTTTCCTGTTAGCATTGTGGAAATTACCTATGTTGAAAGGAATAGAAGAGTGGTAGGTCACCTAGCTCAGGACAGGATATTGCGTATTCTGCTGAACAGCTTGATTTACCTGCGTCTCATTGTAAACATTCACTACATTGATAGGCCTGTGAGTGTCACAGATAAAGAAAAATGTATCTTCCTCAGGCTGCAGGATCTCCAGGAGGTCAACGTTGGCACCACAGTTTATAAGAACAAAATATTGGAACTGCGAAAGAAAAACAACCTAGATCAGCGGATAGTTTGTTTTCCACACTAACAACCCCCCCAAACAAACAAAGCTTTGTAACTATTCTGCTTACAAAGCATTTTCTCTTGTACCCATTTACATTAGACTCCTAATCTACAACACCTCAGGGAAAACAAACAAGTTTTGCATACAAGGATGATGTGCTGGGATTTTAGGGTGTGGAGACTGCTAAGAGAGCTAATAATCTAACCTTTCACAGTTTATATAGATCAAAAGTGAAATCAGTTTACTTGTGTTATCTTGGCCCACCTCATAAAACCACCACACTATGATGCATTTGGCAGTTCTCTTTAGAAGTGATCCATATCTAAAATAGCAGAAGTATTTGCTAAACCAGAATTATGGCACATTAGCAGAACAAGGTGTGAGAACTTGCCAAGCATTTGTCCCTCATACATCTAACTTTATCCAATGTTATTTGGGCAAACACTAAAATCTCAACCTAAAACTTAGATCAGAAGCTAAGGAAAAAGTGTGCTTAAAAATTACAACTATATAGCAGGATCATATAGAAAGCTCTGTGCACTATGTTTTTTTTTTTTACCTGATCTTTATGTTCAAGAAATGCCGTTTCAAGTTCTTGCCATCCAGATACCGGGACTAGTGTATATTGTACATGATCACATTGAAACAAAGCCTAGAAAGAAAGAAAGGCTTTAACAGATAAGGAAGAACAGCAGCAACTACTGTAACGCTGGCTTGGTTAGAATCATAGAATAAAGAATATCAGGGTTGGAAGGGACCTCAGGAGATCATCTAGTCCAACCCCCCTGCTCAAAGCAGGAACAATCCCCAGACAGATTTTTGCCCCAAATCCCTACATAGCCCCCTCAAGGATTGAACTCACAACCCTGGGTTTAGCAGGCCAATGCTCAAACCACTGAGCTATCCCTCCCCAAGTTCTCCTATTGCTCTGTAGAGGTACATTGAAAGTATCCCAAACTACATTTCTATATAAATATTTAAGCCTGAATTATCAAGTCTCAGTATCATGTTAGGAAAAAAATATTAGTACAAAAGTTAGGAAAATAAAAAATTACAACATTTAAAACTGAACTAATTTTATAAAAATTTCTCTTTCACTTTTCTTTCTACGTAGTGCTGTATACATCTTTTAAATGGGGTAAACTCCCCCCCCACACACACACACCTTCTGTTGCGGTACAGAATTATAATGAACAAACTTACTTGGAGTATTTTACAAGCACATAATGCATCTACATCTGAAGCAACAAGAAGAAGAACACGCTGAAAAAAATTGAAGACAGTATTAATATATTAATTAGTGCATATGGCTTGCTATTGCATAGAAATGTAGACATACTAGGTCATTTGCAAAAGCATCATTTTCCACCAGTAAAATTTAAAATCTTTCAATGCAACAAACAATACAAAAGAAATAAAGTAAGGATGAGAGCCTCATATTACCATTATTTATATAAGGTACTCAATTAGACAAGTGGAGAGTAATTTTTAAGAGGAATCTATCATTGATGTCCCATATCTGATAATTGTTTCACATGGTACATTTCATATTAATGTCTCCAAAGACCGATTTATTTCTGCTTAATCTAGCCTGTTAGCAAAGCCTAGGAGAATCACACAACAGAGTGTAAACAAACCTGTGCAAACATGTCATCTTGTCTTGTTTGATTGTATTGGGTTGCTCAGTAAAGGCTTATCTAGCAATGAGCTCTATGCAGGCAAATCCACACACACAGCCACTTTAAATCAATGGGGGTCTGTCTGGACAGAGATCTTTGCAGCATTGAGAACTAAATCAAGATTGTTTTTGATCCATGTGAAAACATTGCTCCTTTGATTACAATTAACATTTAAGACCAGTTAGAGAAGTGAGGACATTTCCTACAACACTTTTCTAGTGTTTAGCCAGTTTCCCCAATTCCCAGAATAGTCACTTAAAGTAGGGTCTATCAGAAAAAATATTTTTTTAAAACTAATTTTTAAATTTTCAAGCTGACACTGTTCCTTTACATTTCAGAGCAACACAATAGGGTTTAAGTGGTCCACCTCACAGTAAGATAAAAGTTACATCACAGAGACCTTGTCTCTGCTACAAACTTATCATAGCCTGAATCCATGTCCAGGATCTCTTCCTGTTAACCATTTCAGGAAACATGGTTATGCTGGCCTATGTGGCAAGGGCATAATTTTTGAAAGTTCAAAACCATTCAATCCTAGAACAGTTTGTATCCATCTTTAAAGTAATGTATATATAATCCACACAATGGTGTAAGCAACCCTAGTTTTCAGTAAGATCTTGAATAGAGTGTCAGCACTTGGGAAAATTCATAACATAAATAGGGCTTGAGACAACATTCAAGGTGAGCATGGTTTAGTTCAAACATCACCACTGTTCTTTTAAGGGTTGGCCACAATGAACTTTTTCTTAAATTCTTCCAAAGTTGGACAATCACCAGCACAGCTTCATTGGTGGGAGAACTAATGTAGGCTGCCCAGTAATGTTTTTACCACTTTATCATCTAGACGTACTCTGACCAGTTTGACAAATTGATACTAAAAAGTCTGGAAGCCCATCTACACTAACCCTATCATCATGGAAAGCTGACTGCAAGATGAAGGCCAACAGAGATTGAACATACAATTAAATGTTTGTGGAGCTAATGCTACAGTGATTTTCAAAAAAGTTCTGGCAATATCATGCTTTTGCAAGAAAGATTTAACAAGAAACTCTAAATAACTCATAAGAAAAAGGTCTCCACTGTGAAAAGGCTTGCCAGTTTCTAGTTGGAATCCTTCTGTTATCACAGACAGTAGCTTTGACATCCGATTTATTGACCCTTTGACAAAGTTCAACAAATTGTTGACATACAGATTTTAAGATACAGAAAAACATTTTCAGCATTCACTAGTCTGAAATTATGTTAAGCATTTATCAGAAGCTGGTAATCTTATGACCATTGTAAATTAATTGTATTACAAGATTATTCTTTAAACTTTTTGCAATCTAAGTGTATCTTTCAAATAAGTAATTTCTAATCCTAATTTAATGCAACACGATATTCTGCAACAAAAAGGATAACCCTCGACAGTGCTTAGTGTACACAAACTAGTTAGTGTCATTTTATAGCACTGAAGATATCTCAATGCAATCAGACTTTGGCCATGTCTACACTACAAAATTATGTGAACCTAATTTAGGTTGGCATACAGCCACTGCGGTTATAAAATTGCTTGTGTGCGTGTGCACATTTGGCTCCTTGTATCGGCAGTGGACATCATCACCAGGAGCATTTGTATTGATTGTGTTGTCAGTGTGGGACGGCTCCTGAAAGCATAACAGTTGATGTAAGCAATGCAGTGACACTGTATTGATCTAATTACATCAACTGTGACTCTACGTCTGACACTCAGGGGAGGTGGTATTACGAAATTGGCATAGAGAAGCACTTACATCAGTGGGTGCCGGGAGCCAAATTTAAGTGAAGACATTTCCACAGCTAAGTTGATGCAAGGCAGCTTACATCGGGCTAACCCTGTAGTGTAGGCTATATCTTCACTGAAAACAAAGATGCATTTTTACACCAAGACAGCTAACTCGATGTAAAACTCAATGTAAAATCCTATTGGACACAAGGCACTGGTAGCTTTTACCTTCATATAGCTAGTTGTGTTCAATCTTATACTCCCCACCTAGGGGGTATCTCAACTAGCTACACCCAGGTAACAGCTACCGCTCCTTGTCTTCAGGAGATCGCTATGTCCATATCACCAACACAAAACATCCCAACACCTTGTCGCTGATTCTGCCACTTTTACAGCCTCTGCTCCGGGTGCACTATAAGAAACCCGGGAACAAAGCAAAGCAAGGTTTCAGAGTAGCAGCCGTAGTGGGCCGTAGTCCGCCAAAGCTTATGCTCTAATAAATTTGTTGGTCTCTAAGGTGCCACAAGTACTCCTGTTCTCAAAGCAAAGCAAAGCACACACTGAATTGCGATGTACCGGCTGGGGACGCCTATTCCCTACGGAGCCAGATATTCAAAGCAAACCCTGCCTGCGCTGTGCAGTTCGGGGTGAAACCAGCAGCGGGCGGGGAGAGGAGCAGGGTGCTGGGCTGCGCGCTCTCCCGGGGGGGGGGCAGCGCTTACCACAGCTCGGCCATGAAGCTGTCCGCAGGGCAATGCCCAGCCCAGGAGCGGGGCTCTGCCCCCGGCTCCATATGGCCGCTCCCTGGGGGACACAGTCCCGCCCTGTCTGGGCCGTGCGGAGCGAGGATCCAGCCCGGCCCACGGGGGCGCCGGGGCCCGCGGTGGCAAAGCGCTGTGGGGAGGAAGGCGCGGGGCTGGAGCACCAGGGAGCCGCGGGTTCCTCCACAATCTAACCAGGCGGCCTCCCCGCCCCCACGCGCCCCGGCGGGGACACAGACAGGAGCTAGGGCAGGGCAGCGCCAGGCAGGCGCGGCACAGGCTCGGCATGCCCGGGCCGCAGGGCGGCTGGAGCCCGGTCCCTCGCGGGCGAGGGGTTAGCAGGCCCCGCTCCCCCTGCCCGGAGAACGCTCACCTGCGTCACAATCACCTCGTAGAACTCCTTGCGGAAGTCGGAGAGGAACATGGCCGAGACCGGGCCGCTCCCGCCGCGCTACAGGGAGGTGGGAACAGTGGCGGGATGGCTGCAGCAGCGGCGACTGCTCCCTTCTCCGCCACAGTCAAAGCAGGCGCCAAATCGCGTCGTTTCCCATTGGTCTCAGCTTCCTGGCCACCGCCCAATAGAATTCCACTACATTGTATCTCTACAGTGCTGATTGGACTAGCTTTTCGATCATCTCAGCCCTCCACCAACCACATTGAGATTAGGGTGATCACTGAGCCGGGGGATGGGCCAATCCACACGAAGTCCTCCTGGAACCGCCATTTTGTTTGTCAGTGTACAGCGCCATTTTTGATATGGGCAAGATCAGCCCCACCGCCCCTCATATAAGGAATAAACAAACCATTGGCTATAAAAATATAACTGTTTCAGGAGTGAATGGGCAAATGAAATATTTAAAGAAAAAACTATGTTGACGCCTGTGAAGTTCCGCCTTCCGCCCTTTCACAAAATGGCCGCAGCGGAAGTCTCTTTACTTCCTCAATGGGTTCGAGTGTAAACACGTTGCATTCTGGGAAATGTAGTTTTGTCGGGACAGTGGGCCAAACCCCCCAAACATTTTTCGCTCCTTTGCTAGCGATGAAAGAGCTCATTTTTGGTCACATTCACTGCTGTTAAAATAGCGCCACGCCAGCGGAAATTAAAAGTCACCCTAAGAGTAGAGGGGCTGGGCTACGGGATTTCCCCCTCCCTGCTTACCATTTCCCTCAGCCGGACGATTTCCTGTGGGGGAGGGGAAGCAGCCGCTGTATTGATCCTTCTCCGAGCCGTCTAAAGGGGCTTCTCTGGTGTCCCCTGCTGAGATCGCTGAGAAAGGGGCAGGAACAACCGCCGCCAGGATGGTAAGGGGCTCTTGGTGGGTGTCTTAGAGCTGGGGGGGGGGGAGACGGGGAAAGCTGCGGAGTCATCCTGGCTGGATTGTTTACACAGGCAGGGAGGCGCTAGGGGAGCAGATACACACCAAACACCCACTGCTCTGCGAGAGGGTCGGGATTTGTCCCCCTGGATCTAGGGCAATGAGGGGGACCCTTCAGGATGTCTGTCTGGGGCATATGTAACGCCCCCTCCCCCGTCCTTCCTCTTAGAGAGCCAGCTGAGAGAGGAGAGATTTTTAAAGCCCTCTCTGGAACGCCCCCCAGCAAAATTTTTGTTCCCAAGTAGGGTGACCAGATGTCCCGATTTTATAGGGACAGTCCCAGTATTTGGGGCTTTTTCTTATATAGGCGCCTATTACTCCCCCCCCCCCACCCTCTGTACCGATTTTTCACACTTGCTATCTGGTTTCAGAGTAGCAGCCGTGTTAGTCTGTATCCGCAAAAAGAAGAACAGGAGTACTTGTGGCACCTTAGAGACTAACAAATTTATTAGAGCATAAGCTTTCGTGGACTACAGCCCACTACAGCATCCGAAAAAGTGGGCTGTAGTCCATGAAAGCTTATGCTCTAATAAATTTGTTAGTCTCTAAGGTGCCACAAGTACTCCTGTTCTTCTTTCTACTTGCTATCTGGTCACCCTACTCTCAAAGAGCAGAAAATGGCTTAATAAAGCCCCCCCCCCCCAATTTAGTGTCCCCACTCACTCACAGATGGTTACAGTGTGGGGTATGAATATATGGAGTAATCTTAAAGAGTTTACAATCTGAGGCTCCCTTATCCTGTGTGATCCTGGGTATTTCCTGGGAGGTGCTGACTCAGCGTTCTCCCCTGCCTTTGATTTACAAGTGAGGATGCTACCCCATTGGATACCTAGGAATGATTGTCTCTCAGCGATGATGAAGACTTCAATCTGTGTTTATCCATAGGCTATATGCATTGTCATCCCTTTAATCATTAAAATAAAAGTGCAAGGGTACAAAAACATCCTTCTGCCACCCCTGTGTTGAATCTCTCTTGTCCTGTGCTGAAGAGTTAAAGAAATGACAATCACTTGTATTCCTTGTTGAATTTAAATTAAGAATCTGTACTGTACACTTGCTGCAGCACTGCACAAATAAACGGTTTTTAGGATGTGTATTCTTATTTCCAAATTGAAGTCCATGTCTGTTCTACAGTTTGTAGAATCAATCAAAATTGATTGTGGTGATAAATTACAGATGAATTTTCACTTTCTTATTTTATGTGTTTCATTGGTACATATATATGTTTAAACCATATTTATATTAGGAAAAATAAGCACACAGCATTGATTTAGATCAAGGGTAGGCAACCTATGGCACGCGTGCCGAAGGCGGCACACGAGTTGATTTTCAGGGGCACTCTCACTGCGCAGGTCCTGGTCACCAGTCCGTGGGGCTCTGCATTTTAATTTAATTTTAAATGAAGCTTCTTAAACATTTTAAAAACCTTATTTACTTTACATACAACAATAGTTTAGTTATATATTATAGACTTATAGGAAGAGACTGTCTAAAAACATTAAAATGTATTACTGGCGCGCGAAACCTTAAATCAGAGTGAATAAATGAAGACTCGGCACACCACTTCTGAAAGGTTGCTGACCCCTGATTTAGATGATTGCATTGGAGAACAACCTCCTGAAAAACTTAGTCTGCAGGTGTTTTAGTAAAGTGGATCGATGTTTGCTAACACACTGTCACTTTTCCTCCACCAGTTTTCTTTTAATATGTTTGATCATCCAATTCCCCGGGTTTTCCAGAACCGCTTCTCAACCCAGTATCGTTGCTTCTCAGTGTCCATGCTTGCAGGACCTAATGACAGGTCAGATGTGGAGAAAGGCGGGAAGAGTATGTGCATGTTTTATTTTTAATACTGTTGAATGCTATATGAGAATGTTCAGTAGTATTGTTTATGGCAGGTAGTTGCAGAAACAGTATAAGGCCACAAACATAATAAAGCATGGAAGCTTATTGATGGCTTTGTGACTTGAGTTAAAGGCACTCTCAGATTAAATAAATACTCTTCTCACTTTAATATCGTGTAATTGATGTTGGAGTTCCTGATTTACCTACAAGTAAATTAGAAGGGCCACTATTTTTAAAAACAAATGGCTTTACATGTCACTAATAAAATAAGCCATTTAAGTGAATAAGATTTAAAAATCTGCTGTCTTCGCCATATGTTTTTTCCTTCCTCTTTAGGCTTCACTCAGCTTGAATAAGGAGAATAGATTTGTCCTCTCCACTTTCAGGCTCCCATATGTTAGTCCAATGCTGTGTTTGAATTGTCAGCACTTTGGTTGTTTAACTATAACCAAATAAAATGACTTTTGGGAAACATTTTTGTTAGTGTATTCGGTTTTGTAAAACTTTCTAACTTCTCCCATTTGCCCCGCTCAGAATCTACATTTTGGATTAAAACTACCAGATATTGTTTATCTAAATTGATTCCAATAGATTTTGTAGCTCACAAAGTCGGAACCAGGGTAAAATGCTGGTTAAATGCAGGGTAAAATGCTGCCAAGAAGGAATGATAAAACTGTACACTGCATTTGCTTTCCGTAGCCATGCTGTTCCTAATCTTACTGTAACTTTCTGATTAATTTCTGCAGTAATTATGCCACCATCTGCCTTGGATCAACTCAGTAAGTAATGTTTATTCTACTGTAAGAACACTAGAAATATTGTGCTGTATATATGTGTAGGCAAACATCAAAAAGTGCTCTATGTATCCATTAAGATATGATTTAAATCAAGATATACCAGGAAAATCCATATTGAGGGTAAAAATTGTTTGTTTGTTTGTCATAGGGTTTAATTTTCCCTTATCTACGCATAGTTCAGATGCTATATATGTATATATAGCTATCTCATAGAGCTGGAAGGGACTCTGAAAGATCGAGTCCAGCCCCCTGCCTTCACTAGCAGGACCAAGTACTGATTTTGCCCCAGATCCCTAGATGGCCCCCTCAAGGACTGAGCTCACAACCCAGGGTTTAGCAGGCCAATGCTCAAACCACTGAGCTATCCCTCCCCTAGGCTGACAGTGTGAGCTTTCTAGCAGCTGCTTGACACTGTATCAACACTTGCATTAATGAAATGATCAGCCTTTATTTTTTTGATGGTTGCAAATAATTTGGTGCGTTTGCCAGGATATTGGCTCATTCTCTTGCTAATATTCAGTCTCCGGAACTTTATAAATGTGCCATGAGTTTTATAACAAATTGTATCTTTTTCCCCTTCTGCCAGGTCGACTTAACATTACGTACCCTATGTTATTTAAGCTGACTAATAAAAATTCAGATCGAATGACGCATTGTGGTGTGCTAGAATTTGTGGCTGATGAAGGCATTTGTTACCTTCCACATTGGGTAAGTGGCCTTACACCAAACTGACAGAATTAAAAGTATAGGATTAGTGTGGTGTTGGTTAATATTAAAGTAGAATATTTGCTGAAATTGCATTTCAGTTGCACAGTCAGCACTGTTTAGTGTTTCAGTCACAGCTAAAGCTTTCCTCTAAGTTAATCAAAGTAAGTTGCTGCATGTACTACGTTGTTACTGAGACATAATAAAGGACCAAGTTTTTCCTGTAATTATACCCAGTGCAAACCCACAGAATTCAGGGCAGAATATGGCCCAATATATTTACATATTCTCAAGGGAAGTTCCATCTAAAAGTTGCCTGTTTCTGTTGAATAGATACTGGTATAGTGTCCTGTCTTTGTCACCAATGTTTCTTTGCAGATGATGCAGAACTTGCTTCTGGAGGAAGGAGGCCTGGTGCAGGTAGAGAGTGTTAATCTTCAAGTGGCTACTTACTCAAAATTCCAACCACAAAGTCCAGATTTCCTTGACATCACCAATCCCAAAGCTGTGTATCCTTTCACTTCATCCCAGAGGAAGCAACAGAAGGGGCTTTGGCACTAGCTTACCCTAAACAGGGGAGGAAAGGCTGGGGCAGCTTTTCAAGCACTGTTCATATACTTCCAATACCGGCTTATTGTTACAAGCGCCACCTCTGAAAGCTAAGAGGTAAGAGAACGGAATCTGGTAGGAGCCAGAGCAAGTGAGGAGAGATGTGAATTCCCTGCAGGAA